TGATAGATAAAATGACCATAAATTTGAAAATAAAAATTGAGGCAACATAGTTAGAAAATACAGAAGAAACTATAGGACTTTCCTGGAAAATCCTGAAAAATAGCTGCATGTGAATTTTGAAGAAAGATACCTGAGAAGGAAGTTATGGAGAAGAATTCAGAGTTGAACTGTTGATAACATTCCCGAAGATGACATTGCCCTGTTAAGAAGGCTACTAACAATTTAGCATGTCCAATTTCCACCACTCGCCTGTCAGTTTGTTGTACTGGGGTGGCTTGGGTATTGCTGTGATGCCGGAAGCTATACCACCAGTATTTCAAATACCAGCAGTGTCACCCATGGTGGACAGGTGTTAGCAGAGTTTCCAGACTAAGACAGACCAGGAAGAAGGACCCGGTTATCTACTTCTGAAAAAACCGACCAGTGGAAACCTTATGGATATCAGTGGAACACTGTCTGATACAGTGCTGGAAGATGAGCTCCTCGGGTTGGAAGGCACTTAAAATACGACTGGGAAAGAGTTGCCTCCTCAAAGTAGAGTCAACCTTAATGATGTGGATGGTGTAAAGCTTTTGGGACCTTCATTTGCTGATGTGGCACAACTCAAAATGAGAAGAAACAGCTGCAAATATCCATTAATAATCAGAATGTGGAATGTACGAGTACAAATCAAGGAAAATTGAAATGGAACTCTTGAAGATCAATATCCTAGGCATTAGTGAGCTGAAATGGACTGGTATTAGCCATTTTGAATCAGATAAATCATATGGTCTACTCTGCTGGGAATGACAAATTGAAAAGAAACAGCGTTGCATTCATCTTCAAAAAGAACATTTCAAGATCTATCCTAAAGTACAATGCTGTCAGTGATAGGATAATATCCATACGCTTACAAGGAAGACCGGTTAATATAACTATTATTCAAATTTATGCACCAACCACTAATACCAAAGAAGAAGAAACTGAAGATTTTTACCAACTTCTGCAGTCTGAAATTGATCAAACATGCAATCAAGATGCATTGACAATTACTGGTGATTGGAATGCGTAAGTTGGAAACAAAGGAGGATCAGCAGTTGGAAAATATGGCCTTTGTGATAGTAACGAAGTCAGAGTTCGCATGATAGAATTTTGCAAGACCAATGACTTATTCATTGGTAATACCTTTTTCAACAACATAACCAGCAACTATACACCAGGACCTTGCCGGATGGAACACACAGGAATAAAGTTGACTACACCTGTGGAAAGAGACAATGGAGACACTCAATATCATCAGTCAGAAGAAGGCTAGAGGCTGACTGCGGAACAGGCCATCAACTGCTCATATGCAAGTTAAAGTTGAAGCTGAAGAAAATTGCAGCACATCCATGACAGCCAAAGTACGACCTTGGTATATCCCACCTGAATTTAGAGACTATCTCAATAGTAGATTTGATGCATTGAATACTAATGACCAAAGACCAAACGAGTTGTGGGATGACATCAAGACATCATACATGAAAACAGGAAGAGGCCATTAAAAACACAGAAAATAAGAAAGGATCAAAATGGATGTCAGAAGAGACTCTGAAATCTGATCTTGAAAGTAAAGTGAAAGGAAGAAATGATGAAGTAAAAGAGCTCAACAGAAGATTTCAAAGGACGACTTCAGAAGACAAAGTAAAGTATTATATTGAAATGTCCAAAGACCTGGACTTAGAAAACCAAGAAGGAAGAACATGCTTGGCATTTCTCAAGCTGAAAGAACTGAAGAAAAACTTCAAGCCTCAAGTTGCAATACTGAAGGATTCTATGGGCAAAATATTGAAATGATGCAGGAAGTTATCAAAAGAAGATGGAAGGAATACACAAAGTCACTGTACCAAAAAGAATCTGTCAATGTTCAACGATTTCAGGAAGTAGCATATAATCAAGAAC